TTTTTACTTTCGTATACAATCATACTTATCCAAATTAAATTTTTAATTTCCAAAAACCTATGATACCTCATCAATCCACAACCCTGCACCATGGACAATATCTATTCCTGCTATCGACATCAGTCTAACAAACCTAAGAAAATCAGAGATGTCATCAACCGTCATTAAACAAAAGTTTCATACACTATTAAACGATATGGCAATACCTACAACGTATACACAGATGCGTCAAAAATGAAGACAGAGTTGGAGCACCAATTTATTCGGAAGACTCCTCAGTTAGTTTCAAATTGTCATCAATTACAACCATCTTTTCGGCTGAATTATTCGCAATTCTAAAAGCACTATCGTTAATACAAAACAAAAACAAAGAAAGATGTATAATAATCACAGATTCTCTAAGTTCATTAACCTCACTGACTCAATTATACTGTGACAACCCCTTCTACTTCTTATTAAAAAAGAACATAAAAACATTTCAAATAAGAACATCGAAGTGCACTTTTTATGGGTACCTTCTCATGTAGGAATTGAAGGTAACGAAGCTGTAGATAAACTGGCCAAAAACGCACCAACTAACCCGATGTCCGAAGAAAGCAACATATTGGTACAAAACGATCTAAAAGCATACTTAAAACAAAAAATAATTCACAAATGGCAACAAACTTGGAACAACACTCCATCGAGGCTATACGAAGTCAACAAACACCCACATCTATGGAAACCAACAATAAAAGACAGAAGAGAACAAGTGATACTTACCCGTCTCCGTATCGGCCATACACGACTTACTCATGACTATTTATTACAACGCAAAAACAAACCAGTGTGTGAAGTGTGCAACAGTGTTCTAACGGTAAAACATTTTTTAATACAGTGTCCCAAATATAACAGTGAACGACTCAAATATAACATACCTAACTCCCTAAAAGATGCCCTAGAAGAAAATACACATAACCGAAAAATTTTTTCCTATCTTAAAGACTGTCAACTTCTTCAAAAGATCTAAAACGTACATTTTAACATACACACATATTATTATTATTATTATTATTGTAAACTAATGTATATTCACATATTGTATCAACTGTCACATATGTTACATAATCTAAATACGCTAATGACCCTGCGTGGTCGATGCGTTGATAATAAAAAAAAAAAAAAAAATAGAGTGAACCACCATTCGCTTGATACGTATTTTATTCTTATGAAGTCCTCAGAACAAACTATGACTGAAAGCAAATCTGTATATCTTATTAGTAATTATTTAAAAATAATTTATTCTTGTTTGAGAAGCCAAAGAGTGAATACCTGACTTTTGTTAATAGTATTTTTATTTTTTTCAAAAACATGGTCAGTTAATGTAATTTGTTTATAAAGTAAGTATTGGTAAGTGATAAGATTGCTTATTATTATATCCTCTATCAACTCCCGTAATTATTTTGAGCAGAAGAATTTCCACCCTTGAGAAAGGGTGGCTGTCATCAGGGGTGGAACCACCTCTACTGTTGTGACGCACGTATATGATATGGTCTGAATTAAAATCACGTCCAAGGAGAAAACTTAAACCATCCTTAATTAAATAAGGTTTTCCAGAGCATTCAATTTTTGATGATTTTATAGTCGAACGTTATCATCTGCGTATCGGATATGTTGTTTAAGCGTTCTCCATTTAAAAGGATTTCATGTTGGAAATTTTCTAAAGCTTCACTAAATATTTACTTTGAATATAGGTTGAATAATATAGGTGAAAGTATACATCCTTGTCTAACGCCTTGCAGAATCTGGATCAAACTGTTTGTCTTGTATTCTCTCTTCGCATAGCTTGTATATTCTGCGATGTATAATTTGAAGAAAAAATTTTAGTGTATGGCTCATTAGAGTTATTAGTCTATATTCTTCGCACTTTTTGACTCCCTATTTCTTTGGTTGTATTTTTGAGAGAAAAATTCTTAGAAGGATTTTTGGAGCCGTAAATAAAAATGAACTATTTCGTCTAAAATACAAGTTTGAACTATATCAGTTATACACCGATCCAGATATTGTGAAATTCGTTAATGTGCAGAGACTTAGATGGGCTCGACACATTGCTAGGATGTCAAAGAGATTAAGCCTTTCAAAACCAGAAGGCACAAGAAGCAGAGGACGACCACAAATGAGATGGATTGATGATGTGAAAAAGACCACAGATTCTAAGGGTTAAAATATGGAGGGAAGTTGCCAAGAATCGACAGCGACAACGGAGTGGCGAATTCTTTGTGAGCAGGCTAAGATCCACAACGGATCGTCGAGCCACTTATGATGATCATGATTTCTTTGCTAACTTAATAAATTTTGAAACTATCCAATCCGCTGGAATATTGCCTGTGTCATAGATATTATTAAATATTTTGCATATAATTCTTAAAGATTTATCATCAAGAAGTCTAAGATCAATAACTTCTAGAACAAAAGGAAACAACTATCCAAAAGAAATGATAGAACTCATAGTAGAAAAAAGAAAGTTAAGAAAAAAATGGCAGCAATACAGAGCTCCACGAGACAAAACTAGTCTCAATAATGCTACACAAAAACTAAAAAGGGAGATACAGAATATAAAAAATTCAACAATTAATTATTTTTTAAGTAATTTAACAGCTGACCAGAACACAGATTATTCTTTATGGAAGGCAACAAAAAGAATGAACAGACCAATTGTTCATTCCCCTCCTATCAAGTTGGAAAACGGCAACTAGGCTACAAATAACGAACAGAAAGCAGAACGATTTGCAGATCATTTAGAAAGCACGTTCAAACCCAACGAAAATGATGGCGAAAAACTGAGATGGAAAGAACCATTCCAAACTGACAAAAGAATAACGTTTACATCACCTAGAGAAGTATCAACAAAGATAAAAGAGAATATAAATCCTAAGAAAGCTCCAGGATAAGATCTCATAACAGGAGAATTATTATAAAATTTACCAAGAACAGCGATAGTTAAGCTGACACACCTAATAAATGGTGCTTTTAGATTGAGATATGTTCCCAGACTCTGGAAAATAGCCGAAGTAATATTATGATCGCCAAACCAGGTAAATCTCCTAATGAAGTGACATCCTATCGACCTATATCACTCCTTCCGGTGATGTCGAAACTATTTGAAAAACTTCTATTGAAAAGATTAAAACCAATAATAGAAAAGAAAAAATCTTATACCGCATCATCAATTTGGTTTCAGAAATTAACATTCCACTATAGATCAAGTTCACAGAATAACGAATGTAATAGAAAAAATATTAGAAGAAAATAAAGTCTGCTCTACAATCTTCTTGGATGTAGCACAGGCGTTTGATAAAGTCTGGCATGACGGTTCAAGAACGTTCATGCCTAAACAGTATTCAGAAATCTTGAAATCAAACATTGCTAATAAATATTTCAGAGTAAAACAAGAAGAAGTGTACACCGACTTAAGGGAGATCAAAGCTGGCGGCCACAAGGAAGTGTCTTAGGTCCGGTCCTGTACCTATTGTATACGTGTGACATTCCAGAGCTAGAATAAAATACTATTGCCACCTTCGCGGATGATACAGCCATACTAGCGATAGGAGACACTAGTGAACAAGCGACTGATAAGTTGCAACTATCAGTAAATAAAATACATAACTGGACCAGAAAATGGCGAATAAAATTAAATAAGACTAAATCTGCACACATTAACTTTACCAATAAAAAAATAGATAATTTCCCAGTTAGAATAAATGATACCCGAATTCCTTATGCAACATCAGCAAAATACTTGGGCATCACCCTAGACGCGAAGCTGCGCTGGAAAGTCCATGTCAAAAAGAAAATAGTGAGCTTTATATTAGATATAAGAAATTGTATTGGCTGATTGGAAAAAATTCAACATTATCAATTTATAATAAATTATCCATCTACAAGCAAGTACTGAGGCCAGTATAGGTATATGGGTGCCAACTCTGGGGCTGGACCAAAGCTAGTAATCTACATAGCAGAGATTTCAAAACAAAGTGCTGAGAAACATTGTTGATGCTCCTTGGTATATCCGTAACAGCAACCTCCACCAGGACCTGGGTATGGAAACTGTGATCGAAATAATCAAGAGAACAGCAGCAAGTCACGAGCAGAGGCTGCATAGTCATGTGAATGTCGAGGCAATCCAGCTTCTTGACAACACTGAACTAAAAAGAAGACTCATAAGGACAAAACCATTTGAGCTAGTGTAAATGTGTAACAGTTTATTGTAAAAAGCAGAGTATAGTGCTTAAAGTTATTGCGTGTTAGTTGTAGTGCATTAGTTAATAGATAAAATAAGAGTAAGCCATAGGGTAAGCCCTTAGATTTAAGTATTTGCTGTTATTATGTTAGGTCAGAAAATAACTGATAATTGGTCATTTGTGACCAGATAGCAGTATACAAACACCGCACAGGTGTTAATAAAAAAACCACTAGTATAGGTGGTCCTATTTTCGTAGGTATTGGGGACTAGTTCAAACCAGTTCAACTAGGGTATCAACTCTCTTTGTCCACGATTACCGCTTCGTTGTCATTATCAAGTTTACTTACTCTTCTGTTTTTACATTCGCCTGTTATTTCTCTTACCTTTTTATGCGCGTTGAAGGCGTAATATTTATTTTATAGAATTTCGATTTCTTCGCATTTTTTCTCCAGTTCTTTCTGTTTGGCTTCTCTGATACCCAACAGTATAAGAAATTTATTAAAAACTAATTTTTATAATATTTTATAAAATTTTTATTTTGTACTTTGTAGCCGCCGCTAATAACCATTATCGTGAAAGCGGATAGATTTTCTTAATAAAAAAAATTTAGATAGTCAAAATAAACATTTAAAGTTGACTTAATAATTTTGTTTAGAAGTATAAATTCGTCTTATTTTATAACCGAAATTTTATAAAAAAAAATTAATATTTTAACAAAACACTTAAATATATAACATTTTTATTCAGTGTTCTTTTTTCATTTGTCGCTATCAACCAGAAAGCAGATTTGGCCGTAGGATCGATGACAATCAACTATGCCCGGGAGAGCGTCATAGACTTCACGAAACCCTTCATGAATCTTGGGATCAGCATTCTTTTCAAGGTAAGTGCGAATAAAAGAGTTCTAGGTCAGTATGTTAATGGAATAGGCTAAAGAGAAAGACAGACAGTGGTTTTCACCTTTTATAAGTCAGAAAAGTTTGCGTGTGTTATTTTAAAATTAACTCAAGACATTTGCGATTGTAATTTGTTTTTGAATTTAGAAAAAAAAAATTATTGTATGTATTAAACGATATGTCTTAATAAGTTAGGTCTGTTTTTTTATTTTTTTTTTTTTTAATGTGTAATTTAGGTTAATGCGACTTTTTTCGATTTTGAATCAGCATTACTTTAGTTTTTTGAAGATTTATTGTCATTCACATTGCTTCACTTACATATTAATTTAAAAATATTCTTTAAAGTGTGTAAAAATTAAAATATCACTTTTTGTTAAATATGCCAAAAGTTAATTCATGTTTAAATAATATATTCTTAACGAATGTTTGGTCATCCAATTTCAAATTTAGTTTATCCCCTGTATCTCAAAAACTAATCCCCTATATCTTAAACTAACTTTTTAGTGTGTCTGAGTGAAAGCCGTGTCGAACTCGAGTCGACAAATATTGATAAAATTTTTCTAGGTTCCAAAAAGTCAACAAGCCAAGCTGTTTTCTTTCATGAATCCATTAGCTACGCATATATGGCTCTACGTTCTTTCTGCTTACATCTTGGTGTCAATAACGATGTTCGTAGTAGCCAGATTTTCACCGTGCGAATGGCAAAATCCGCATCCGTGTGAAATTGATAATGAGTTGGTAAAAAATCAATTTTCCCTGGCCAACTCCTTTTGGTTTACAATTGGGACTTTGATGCAACAAGGATCAGATTTAAATCCAAAGGTAAGTTAAATGTCATGGCTTTTATGTAACGACACTGAATAATTAGAAAATAGAGTGGAATTTAAGTTTTTTTGCGGTGTCACGGTGTATGAAAACACAAATAGACTGAGTTAAAAGTGTAGTCAAAAAAGTTTAATGAAGAACCAGTTATTGCATCAACCGATGATGTTAGTAAGAAAAGAAGAAATGGAGATAAAGTTTATGTGCAGAAAAAGTAAGATATCTAAAAAATAATATGATGCCCGAAACGCCAACAAAACTAAGAATTTTAGGAAAACTTTGATCAGTTACTAGTATTTGCCAAAAATTCGGAAAAGGGGATATAAATAAAAAAAACTACAGAGATTAAAATTAAGCACAAATAATTTAAATAAATAGAAAATTTAGAAACTAGATATAATTTTCAACTTTATGACACCCCTCTGTGGCTCAGTGGTAAGAGCGCCTGCCTTTAAACCTAAAGGTCGTGAGTTCGAATCCCACCTGGGTGGAAATTTTCGTTTATTAAAAAAATTAATAAATGAAAATAATTTCTATCCTTGTCTGATCGGTACACACCGGAGGGACCGCAGACGTTCGGATACAATTAGCGTCTCTTAGCAAAGACAATGATGTCGACTTTGCTAAGTATCAAGACAATTACTCTACACACACACACACACACTACACCTCAAATTGTAAGATTGGCGAATGGATTTAGTGTCCGCAGTCATTTAAACACAAACAAACAACAAACAACTTTATGACATGCTTTATCTCCAGGCTAGAACACTGAAATTTTTTCTAAAGTGAACGGTTTTCAAAATATTGAATTTAATTCGTTCTAAAAAGATTGACTTGCAATATATTGAATTTATTTCGGGCTGCAAATTGATGGATGGCAGTGCCAGTGAGAGTAAACTTCTGGAATTGTGCATAAAGTAAAGTAAAAATTTTTTATTTCGAATCGAGAGTTTTACCAGGTTGAAGTTATTCTGTTGTTATTACAGACAAACCAATTAAATGGATTGTAATATTCGGTATACGCATTCGCCAAAATTTAGACTGTCAAACCCAGAAATAGTTTCCATCTTCATGACCTGCTTTGACGTCAGGCAGGAACACTTAAACTTTTTTCTAAATTGAACTGATATACTGAACTGATGTACTAAAATTTTTTTATAAAGTAAAACGGTTTTCCAAATATTAAATTTATTCGGTTCTAAAATGATCGGCACTTTCGATGTACTGAATTTATTCTGGGCTGCCAGTTGCCGGATAACAGTGCCAAGGAGAGTACTACCGGTATGGTTAGTGTGATCAAGTAGCCAGAAAAATCCGGGACATGGCCCGAATTACGAAGTTGTGTCCCGGCGTCCCGGACAACGCTTCCTGGTAATCCGACTTTTTAACTTTCTGGTAAAATTCTATTTATAAACTTTAATTACGTTATACTTCTAAAACTTCACATTAAATTGAATTTTTGGGACGAAAAACAGTCGAAAATTTCTAGAGTGTAATACTAATACCACATCCACGCATGCATTTAATCGTGGTATTATGTTATATGAAAACTCAAACTGTGCACTTTTTTTAACTTAAACAATGCAATATACGTCAACAATAATAAAGATGTACCTGGTTGTGGTGAGATATTTCATTCCAATATAAGGCATGAAGACGAAACATCTGATATTATTGTTCAGCTCTTGAGGAACACTCTTGAAAAGTACAACATCTCAAGAAAGTAAGTTTCATTCTGCGGTGATAATACTAATACTTATGTTGGTGGTAAAAACCGAGGTGGGCAAAATAATGTTTGCTACAAACTAAAATCACAGGTGAATCCAACGTTGATGGGAATCGGTTTGTGCAGCTCACATTAGTCATGACACTTTACAATGTGGCTGCAATATGTAACCATTTGACTTAGAATTAATTATGGTGAAACTTTATTAACATTTTTATCGTTTTACTGTTCGTGTTACACATCTGAAAGAGTTTTGTAAAACCGCAAATGTTGAATACCAGAAAATTCTTGGTTATGGAAAAACTCGCTTTTTGAAAATGTTCAGATGCATGCAATAAATCTTACAAGTTTATGATGAATTAAATGCATATTTTGTGGAAACTTCAAAGAGCCTATAATTACTGAATGACTTTTTCAAGGACCCATGTTTGAAAGTTTGGTTGTTGTTCATTCTTGATCAGGTAAAAGCAAATTTACATCTAGGCAATGCAAGTTCCATGCTATGCAAGTCTGTCTTGCATGGCATATCTCTTGCCTAGCCTGTTTAGATCAGAGCTATTTCTGTGCAATTTTTGATAGCACTTTCATTATTGGTAACAAAAGAAATATACCAAAACATCAACTTTAGATATTTCACCTAGAAATTTGAGTCCAGCATTAAATATATTAAAAAAGAAATCACAAATGATTACATCCAATAAATAATATTATAAACTTACACAATAATATGTTATAATGTTGAGTTTTATTCTAAACTATAAATTTTATTATACTGGCAACATGAATTTCGATAGCAACTTACAGCAAAATAGTGTGAAAATTTGAACAAGTTTTAATTTTTCCTATAGTACAGGAATTGCATAAAAATAGCGCGTGGGCATGCGCTGTTGCAAAATTTGTCTTGCTTGGCTTTTGCCTAGCATGAAAATGCATAATGTAAAACCATCTGAAGAAACGTGTTCAAAAATTACTTTTAATCACTTTGTGATTTGAATATTTGAATCTAACCTGCATTTCAATTGTTTTTTTTTTTTTTCTATAAGCTAAGATTTTTAGTCGGACAGTCTTAAGAATTAAAGGTACATAATAGCTGCGATTGAAATGACACAGGCCTTGGCCGATTTTCTGCAGTCGTTGAAAACAAGAGTGGATTTACAGTTTCTGTTGTCAGCTGTATTGAACGAAGTAAACAAAGCAGACGCGGACCTCCGTATTGATAAACAAACAGTGTTCCAAACAGCTCTTTCATTTTATCAAACTTGCTTCGATTATCTCAAGCAGTGAAAATCACAGTTTGAAGATGTACTCATATTTGGATGGGCTACAGTCGCTACTGAGCCGAATTGGAATGAAGACGAGGCAACGAATAAATTCTTGGCAGAGAACATTTCGATTGGCGTAGAAGAAAACAATGTTAAATTTCTGACCAGTGATAAAATTACAGCTTGGAACGAAAAGAATTTCGAAAAGAATTACGTTCTGTACAAACGCTTTGCACGAGTTATTGAATTCATCTTTTGTTTACCAGCTACTTCTGGGAAAGTCGATTACAAAAATATGGACAGCCGAAAAATCGCAACTTGAAACCTTAAAAAAATTTTGTTCGTAAAATTTGAAATGCGAATGTGTTGATTTTCATAAGTTTTTAAAAGAGTCGCCATTATTTTTAAAACAAATTACATCGTAAGACAAATATGATATTAAAAAATAAGCACTGCAAAGAATTAATATATTTTAACAAGTGATAGTTATTATCAGGTAAAAATTATTCTATTGCTGCTACAGATAAACCAATAAAGTAAAAAAAAAAACTATTATTTACAAACCGATAGCTTGAGGAAGAAAAACCTGAAAATGTTGGGTAAGTTAAACTTATATCAGGTTAAAAGTATTGTGTTGCTCCTACAGATAAACCAATTAAAAGGAGTTTTAAAAATTTGCTTGGCGCATCCGCCAAAGTTTAGACTGTTAAAACCAGAAAATAGTTTCCAATTTCATAAACTGCTTTATCTGCAGGCTGAAACACTGAAATTGTTTCTAAATTTTTTGAAATATGAGTTAAATCCATTCTAAAAAGATCAGATTCTATATACTAATTTTATTCCGAGCCACCAATTGCCGGATGACAGTGTCAGTAACAGTATACTACCGGTATGGTCCACAAAATGATTTTAAAAAATCCCTTACGTGGAAACCAATCGATTTAGGAAAAAATTATTTTGAAACAGGTAAATTTTTATTTCCACTTATCTTTTTTTCATTAGGCTACTTCGACCAGAATAGTTGGGGGAATTTGGTGGTTTTTTACACTTATTATCATATCGTCATATACAGCAAACCTAGCGCCTTTTTAACAGTAGAACGAATGATAACACCGATAGAAAATGCAGAGGATTTGGCGGGGCAGACCGAAATTCCTTATGGTACCTTGGAAAGTGGTTCTACGATGACGTTTTTCAGGGTATGTAAAAAATCTTATATTTGATAAATATTTTTCTATTTATTTTAAAAACAAAATTTTCTTCACATATTTATCATAGATTATAAACGAAAGAAAAAGTAAAAATGGTACAAAAATAGTTTTAGTAATAAATGACTGCTCTTGTCTTCTTTTGCTTTTTTTTCTTTTTCGAGACTTCCAAATTTTCTTTTTCTCTACTGTTTAATCTTATCATTGATAAAATAATAAAAAAAGTAAGAACTTAAAAAGGATACCAAATGGGACAAAAACAACTGTTAATAATCTGCTATGCAGACGACGCAATACTACTCTTTCAAAGTGAAGACGATTTGCAACGTATGCTGCACCAAATGATACAAACGTCAGAAAATGTAGCATGTGAATTTTTCCAAAAAGACAAAATGCACGTCTATAACAACAAATTTACTAAGATATAAATTGTAGTTAGAAGGTCAGATAATAAAACAAGTGATGGAGTTTAACTATCTAGGCATCATACTATATAGCTGTAAAATTAAGTGGAGAGAGCCAACAGAGCTGCAATTTGTCTAAATGAAATAATATAGAGAAACAAAAATACCGGAAAAGAATTAAAGGCAGAATTTATAAAACAGTTATGAGACAAATAATATATGCGACAGAAACACGACCTGACATAGAGAGGACAAAAATAATACAAGAAACAGCACAGACAAAATTTCTTTATTAAATTGATTGTACTACCCTACGGAACAGACCTAGAAGTACTACATGCAAGGTGTAGAACATCTACGACTGGGTACGAAATAGAAACGTTAAATGGAATGACCATATAAGGCGAATGACAACAAATAGTGTAGTAAAGATCACGTGAGACGGTATCTCGATATAAAGCTAATCAGTAGGAACAACACGATAAAACTACAATGTACAGGCACATTGAAAAACAGACAGGGTGTGTCTACATAAAAAGCAGAAGAAGAAGAAATTGCTTTTCTTGCTTCGTTCTGTTTCTTCATGATTGAAGTTGTCAACTCTGAAGAATCGTTCTGATTTTTCAGAGTTGGCATTGATCACGACGAAGCTTAAGTACGTGAATTTGTCTACTACCTCAAAGCTAGAATTTTTAACGGTAAAATTATGACCAATATTTCTGGTTTTGTTGTCGAATAATAATGCTTTAGGTTTGCCATATTTATTTGCAGGCCCATGTTTTGTGAATCAGCGAAAGAAGTAAAATTTGTTTATACAGTATGATGCAAATGTATGTAATAAATTCATTATTTCAGAAACAGACGAATTTTAAAAAAATCTTAAAACACGTCCGTCAATTTTTATTTTTGAATGTCCATCAACTGCTAATATGTATTGGACATTACGTCATCAGTGTCGGCGTAATGACGTAATAACGATTTTTTTATAAAAAAACCGAGATCATACGACAGCTCATTCGAAAGGTCTCCTTATCGTCTTTCATCATCATCAACTAGCCTCTAAGTCCACTGCTGAACACATACCTCTCGCATGCTTTTCCACTTAGTCCGATTTTGCGCCATCTGAATCCAATTTGTAGTCACTCTTTTTTTGTCATCTGTCCATCTCGTTGGGGGTCGACCTCTATTTCTGTAAACTTGTATTCGGGGTCTCCATTTCAAAATATTTTTGTCCACCGGTCATCAACTGATCTTGCTACATGACCTGCCCAGTTCCACTTTAGTGTTGTTATCCTTTCAATAACGTCTGCTACTCCTGATCTTTTGCGTATAGTAGCATTGAGTATTCTATCACGTAGAGAAATCCCTAACATAATTCTCTCCATTGCTCTTTCCGCAACTTGTAGTTTACTCACTGTTGTTCTTGTGAGCGTTAGGGTTTCTGCGCCCGTAGGTCATCACTGGCAAAATACATTGATCAAATACTTTTCTTTTCAGACACATTGGAATCTTAAACCTAAAAATATCCTTCATCCTTCCAAATGCAGCCCAAGCGAGGTTTATTCTTCTTTTCAGCTCGATTGTTTGGTTGTCTCGACTTATTCTGATCTTATGGCCTAAATATTTATAGGAGTCAACTGGCTCAATATCTTTGTCTTCTACTGAGATGTGTTTGTTGTGGACTAAATTTGTCATAAATTGTGTTTTTGAAAAATTTATTTTAAGACCAACTCTTTTTGTGGCAGTATGGAGTTCTTGGAGCATTATCTGTGCCTGATCAAAGCTGTCTGCAATGAGAACAATATCATCTGCAAATTTAAGGTTATTTAAAAATTTTCCATCTACATTGATGCCCTTTTCGTTCCAATCTATTGTTTTACAAGCGTAGTCTAGTAAAGTTGTAAATAATTTATGAGACATGTTGTCTCCTTGCCGAACGCTTTTTCAATACGAAAAATCCCAGTATCTTCATTAAGTCTTACACAGGCTGTAGCATGTTGATAGATGTATCTGGTGAGAGATATGTATCGGTGATCTATTCTACATTGATGTTAGAGCTTGGAGCATTTCACTTTGATTGACCGTATCAAATGCTTTTTCAAAGTCGACAAAGGACAAGTATCAGGGGTCTATTATATTCAATGGTTTTTTCAATCAACGACTTAATGGTTTGCAAATGATCATTTGTTCCGTATCCAGCTCTAAATCCTGCTTGCTTATCCTTATCGTCTTTGCAACGATATAATTATTTGAATATTTTATTTCTACAGGTTTAAACTAAACTGTTGGTTTATTAATACAATTAACTTACAATAAATGTTTACTTAAATACAATTAAATTACAACAAATGTTAAATTAACGACCTTCAGCAATAATAGAATATGAAAGATGGGCAATAAATTTTTTCCTAACGTTTTCAATGACTTCAAGTGTTATTTGTGCAATTTCCGTTCTGATGCGCTCCTTCAACTTTTCTACATTATTCGGTCGATTTTGATACGCTCTGCTCCTTAAATATCTGTAGACATTGGTGGCCATTCGGTGGGCCCCCTTATACCTATCCACCTACTTGGGAAAACGGTATTAAGATAATTTCGTACCTTAACGCCGTAGTGTGGGGGAGCCCCATGAAGTTGGTACTATAAATTATTTCTATTTGGAAATAGCTGATTTTATAAATAACGAGAAGCAGTTAAGTTTTCCTTAAAAAACATTGCTCTACAATTTGATTGTTTATAATGCCGGCCCAAACATTCACCTTCTCGGGATATTGTGTCCTATACTCTTTCATCTAATGTTGATTTTCACTTGCCCAGTATTGATATGTTTGGCGAGTTACGTGACCGTTTAGTATAAAAGACGCTTCATAAAAAAAAAGTACCTTTTGTATGAAACTTTGATCTGTGTTACATTTTTCCATAACGATTTTGCAGGATTCGATTCTTTTATCAAAGTCATCTTCTAATAACTCCTGGACCAGATAGACTTCGTATGGATGCCACTTTTCCTTTCTTAGCACTGTTACCACAAATGACTGGTGGACATTATTATTTAATGCGACCTGCCTAGAACTGGTATGGGGATTTTCTTGAAACGCCAGTACAACATACAGTTTCTTGACTTCGGATATTGATTTTCTACCATTTCTGGGAAGATCTTTAACATGGCCCGTTTCTCTAAATGTTTTTTCAATTTTACTACTGTTGACTGAGTAATTGGTTTGCGATTGGAGTATTTAGCAATAAATACATTACGAACTTCTGCTTCACTATATCTCCATAATCAATCATGATTAAACTCTCAGTTTGTTCTGTTTCTGGTAGTTTCATTTTTGTAAATGCAAACAACTAAATGGGTAAAAATTTGACGTTTATAACTTTACAGATGCATTGACAAATAAAGACGGGTCAATGACAATGTTGATTTAAAAATTTTTGAAAAATAACTTGGAATACTTACTACAATAATTAATTTCAGATTATAATGTAGCATTGTTTGTTATGAATGTATTTTTTTTTTTTCGGAACCAGCAATAAACACTATTTTGTTTTATTCCCAGTGGCGTTTCTTAGTGTATTTTAGTTAATTAATGGATATTGTAATGTAATATATAATGCCCAACACAAACATAGCAGTTGATGGATATTCAGAAATTAAAATTTACATGCTTTATAATTTTTTTTAAAAGCCGTCTGTTTCTGAAATAATAATTTATTCCATACATTTGCATCATACTGCATAATATCATATAATTATCAAAGATCTTTTAAAATTATTCGCATATCATCTAATTCGTAGTCCAATACTTATTTTAAAAAATTTTTAACTTTCAATTTAATTAGTGACAGATAATAATTCTGAATGACAGATAATAATTCTGAAGGGCAAATATGTCTTGTACTTGCCAGATTATAATTGTTAATGCAAAATGTTGTTGCTGAAGTATTTTTTATTAGATATACAAACTGTTGCACAGAGAAGGGATTAGTTTAAAATTACTTTTCTTCTGAAGAAGTTGATGTTTCAGCGTATCATGTCAACATGACTATATTTTGTTTAAATTAAAAACACTATATATACTTCTATATTATATTTAATTTTTAAACAGTATTTCCATCAATTTTAGACATAGTAAAAATGATTAAGTTACGTTAAACTCTGAACATAAAGCCTTTCACTATATTTTAAACGATTTATTTTCTTTACTCTCTTTCCTTAAACATACAAAAGAACTTTGACACAATAATGGGTTTAATGTAAAGGGAAACTATGTCTTTGAAAAGACTAACTACTATTTACTCCTGGGAACATTAATAAATTCAATTTCTAAACTCTGGCGGTCTTTAATCCTATAAAACGAAACGAATATGAATTATTTATTTACACAACAGAATAGCTTTTAAATTTTTATTTTTAAAGTTTTTAAAGATATTTAAGAAAGTTTGTGCTAAGTTAAAATAGCTAAGTAGTGAATAAATAATTCAGTTATCTTATAATAAAGAAATGACCCTATACCCCAGTCAATATGTAAAAAATCATCAATGTCACGTTAAAATCTTATACAGGTTTCAAATATACAAATCCTTAAAGATGTACAGCTGATTTTGTCGTAAATTCTTTCTTCTTCTTTCTTCTTTAATACCGTGCACCTATCGTGCGTTGGCAAAATTATCTTAAGGCTAGACGTCTGTCTTTTGCGCAATGTCAAAAGATCGCAGTGTTATTTATGCCTGTCCAGTTTTTTATGTTCGTAGCCATCGAGTGTTGTTTGCGACCTACTCACTCTTACCTTCATCTTTTCCTGGTATGATTAATTGAGGGATTGCGTATTTTTTCCTCTCAGATTGTGACCAAGTTATCCAATTTTCCGTACCTTGATCAAATTAAGTAGTTCTCTCCCAGTATTTACCTTTCTTAACACTTTCTCATTTCTCACCCTATCTGTCTATGGTATGCGGAACATTCTTCGCAACGTCCACATTTCGAAGGCCTCCAACTTATTAATGGAAGGTAAGGAATGGAAATGTTTTCACTTGATCGATTGGAGCATTATCCACTGCAGTTGTGCATGATCTTTCATGATTTCGGCTTAATTTAGTATACAAAAATTTTGTTATCATAGTAATATCCATAGACATTGATAACAGACGAGATAATTTCATGACAATCGAAAGCTTGTTCTTTGTTAACAGCACGAAGCGAAGCTGAGTGCTATTAACAAGCAACGAGCTTGAGAAATTTGTCATGAAATTATAGAGGCAATCATCAATGTCCGAGGGATATTCGCGAATATTTTTCGAAAAAAAAAGTCATAACTCAACGTAACGAAAACATTTATTTATTAAAAGTACAGTTAGTGAAAATACAATTATTAAAATTTAAGTTAACATAGATTCGTTGCGTTCTCTACATAGAAGATCATTAACCACGCATAATATTTATAATCTTGTTGTGGTGTTCTTGATCGAGATCAAGTATGGTTTTAGAGAATTCTGATTGCCATGACCAGTAATTTTTAGAATTGTTGTTCTTCTACACCACTTTTTGCTAATTCGCTAACAGCAGAACATTCTCATTGCCGGAAACGTGACATTTTGAAATTTATTTGGATCAATTTGTCAAACTCGATCGGGTTGTCATAGGGATTGAAAATTGCATGAATGCAATTATTCAGTCTAATGTTGACATGATTGGTGAAATTGTTCCACATGACGCAAAATGACGAAATTTGAATGGTTGTTAGAACAGTCAAAAAATTATCGGTAGAACAAATTTCGCAGCATTCTACGTTTTTTTTAACTTATAAATCGCATAAAATTCAATGCTTAATATTCTTGTATTCATTTTTACAATTCTGGCATACTACATAATCTAATAAACTGTACTTTGTCGAATATTCTCACGTAGCCAAATACATTTTTGGCTCTTTCCTTACAAGTTCGAATATTTCCAGGATTCGATGATAGAGACATATAAAAAAATGTGGCGTTTTATGGAAAATCGAAAGCCCTCCGTATTCGTCCCCACATACGAAGAAGGAATTCGGAAAGTCCTCGATGGGAATTATGCCTTCCTAATGGAATCTACTATGTTGGATTATATAGTGCAACGTGATTGCAATTTAACGCAGATCGGAGGACTTTTAGATTCTAAAGGTAAATTATTTTATATTTTTGTTATACTAAGTTGGTCTAACAGACTATTCTATGACTTGAACTACTCTTATAATTATCATTTTTTATATTGTTAAGTATTTATATATTAAAATCTCGTGTCACGATTTTTTCTCCCAGCTAATATTTAAACTAAACTTAAACTAAATTGATTGTAAGAAAATTTTGTAAAAGTGTGGCTCAACTTAGGACTTAATATATTTTTATCTCGATGAATGACTTGTATTTCTATTTAATTATAAATTCCAAATGTTTCATACGACGTCACCTCTACAGTGTATTTTATCACCCTGGCTATTCAATTTATACAGTGACGCCATCTCAGAATTAGCGCTTGCCGAGCTAATAACGTTTATTGACGTTTCAATTTCCACTTCGGAAATCGTTCTTAAAATACAAACAGTAAATTAAACAAATTTTGTTTTTTTGGTACATAGTTAAAAATCCTTCTAATAATATAATTTTATCTGACTCATTTATATTGACCATTCAGACATACATTATGCATTTAAAAGTAGACGACTTTAAAATGATATTGCCAATATTGTTGAGTTGCGCTCCTGGGACGACTTTACTTATAAGTATAGTTCATTCGATTACATGAAATACAACTAACTTGAGAATATCCGTCAGAAAAAAATCATAGCATGTAATTCGTCTTTAAAAAGACAAACACATGACATGATGACAGTAAAATTCTCCTGTTAGTGATTCCATAATAAATTTATGAGGAAAAACCAGGAAAAAAAAACCTCATAATACTATCCCGACATGGTAACTATATGTGTCGTGCATTTAGTTTACCTTTAATAAACACCAAAATTCTGCAATCGTAAAATAGTTTCGAAACACAATTCAGATTTCTGCTTTATAATCTGAGCCTTCTAAGAATTGCAAGGCAACAGACGTTAATAAAAGATGTTAAAAGAGACATGGGGAATCTAAAATTTGCATTCCACGACATGTCTTTTACAACTAAGTAGAAATCCTTAGCGAATTATGTTTCTCGTACTCCCACAGAGTATATCCGAAATAAAATGAGAAAAGACAGCAAATATTTTGATTTCACGCAAACAAATCTATGTATCTCTTGATAACGTATTTCGACCTAATAGGTCTCGTCAGAAGAGCTATTCATAGGGCTTCTCAACGTGAAAAATCAATATTTTCTGCCTTTTAAGAAGCAATAATAACATGGCTTCAATACGGACGCCAGTAGCGACATCTAATTAAACAATCGTAAATAGTTTCAAAAACACAATTCAGATTTCTGCTTTATAATCTGAGCCTTCTAAGAATTGCAAGGCCAAACAGACGTTGATAAAAGATGTTAAAAGAGACATGGGGAATCTAAAATTTGCATTTCACGACATGTCTTTTACAGACTAAGCAGCAGAATCCTTAAGCGAATTGTGTTTCTCGTACTCCCACAGAGTATATCCGAATAAAATGAGAAAAGGCAGCAAATATTTGATTTCACGCAAACAAATCCTATGTACTCTTGATACGTATTTCGACCTAATAGGTCTCGTCAGAAGAGCTATTCATAGGGCTTCTCAACGTGAAAAATCAATATTTTCTGCCTTTCAAGAAGCAACAATAACATGGCTTCAATACGGACGCAGTAGCGACATCTAATTAAACAATCGTAAAATAGTTTCGAAACACAATTCAGATTTCTGCTTTATAATCTGAGCCTTCTAAGAATTGCAAAGGCAAACAGACGCTGATAAAAGATGTTAAAAGAGACATGGGGAATCTAAAATTTGCATTCCACACGACATGTCTTTTACAACAAAGCAGAAATCCTAAGCGATTGTGTTTCTCGTATTCCCACAGAGTATATCCGAATAAAATGAGAAAAGGCAGCAAATTATTTGATTTCACGCAAACAAATCCTATGTATCTCTTGATACGTATTTCGACCTAATAGATCTCGTCAGAAGAGCTATTCATAGGGCTTCTCAACGTAAAAAATCAATATTTTCTGCCTTTTAAGAAGCAACAATAACATGGCTTCAATACGGACGCAGTAGCGACATCTAATTAAACAATCGTAAAATAGTTTTCGAAACACAATTCAGATTTCTGCTTTATAATCTGAGCCTTTCTAAGAATTGCAAGGCAAACAGACGCTGATAAAAGATGTTAAAAGAGACATGGGGAATCTAAAATTTGCATTCCCACATGTCTTTTACAACTAAGCAGAAATCCTTAGCGAATTGTGTTTCTCGTACTCCCACAGAGTATATCCGAATAAAATGAGAAAAGGCAGCAAATATTTGATTTCACGCAAACAAATCCTATGTATCTCTTGATACGTATTTCGACCTAATAGGTCTCGTCAGAAGAGCTATTTCATAGGGCTTCTCAACGTGAAAAATCAATATTTTCTGCCTTTTAAGAAGACAACAATAACATGGCTGCAATACGGACGCAGTAGTGTAAAACAATATTTGAGATTTGGCTGGCTACAGACTTTAGATGATTTATCCATCTTAAATTTCAATTCATAATTAAAGACGTCCTTCTTGTCGAAATTAAGTAAGCTTATAATAACAAATGATCTTGTTTATATTAACTTATTAAGTATTATCTTCATTATATAAAGTCGTGATATTTGAAAAGGGGCGGTTAATTTAATTTAACAACACAACCGTGTCCGTCAAATGGAATATAGAGCAATTTATTACTTACAATTGACATGGGTGTACCCATGTCACAATATTATCTGTGACATTGTTTATTTAATCACTCAAACATACAGATTATGCAGATTAGTAAAACGATTTCTAGGCATTTTACCCATTTTCAATCATTATTATTCTTTTACTGTTACTGTTATTTGTTATTTATAAACAATTAGAAAAACTTTTAAAACAATTACTTGTAGGCGAATTATTTTTTTATATTTGAAAAGCTAAAAATTTTTACACGAATTTGAACCAAAAAAACAAGTTATACTAGGATAATTGTGTAAAAAGCAGGATTTTTTTTAATTTCCACCTAATTTTTTATAATAATTAAGTAACGTTATTAGTCTCATTTTAAGGATAAAGATAAAGTTGTATTATGCAGCAGAAAATCAGGATGAATCGATCTAAAAATTTTAGAATATATTACGTACGACAACCAACAAACATTGGTTTTATATTCTCTGGCGAGAAGACTTGTTATTTAATTTTGAGAGAACCATTTAACGAATCTGCAATGTTCTTACCAATCCAGAATTAACTTACTAAATATGCTGTCAAATACCTCTTGGGAGTTTTAATACAATAACTTTACTTACTCTACCCTTCTCCTTCGTCCTAATCCCTTTTGGGAATAATATGGTGAGACCATCAGGCCTTTACAGTTTTTTCACGATTTCTCTCCATCCTTCCTATCTTGGGCTAGTTGTTGGGCTTCATGCAACCCTTGGTTAATAAATATTTTTGTTTGATTTACCGAACGACTTTAAGATCTTTCCCTAGGTCCCTTTTCTTCAACTCTATCCTCGACTATCAGTTTTTCCATCATACCTGTTCTGTCTAATGTGTCCCAAAATGCTGCAAATATATCTGTTATATTTTTTTAAGCAATATATCCTTTACTTTTTTCTAATTTCGATACGTTGTTAGTGCGATAATCAATCCAGGATATTTTTAACATGCGGCGATAAACCCACATTTCAAAAGCATCTAGTTTATTTTTATCTGCTTTCTTTAAGGTCCATGTTTCGGATGCATATGTGGCTATGGGAAAAATGTGCGCCCTTGCCAGCCTTAGTTTTGGGTGTATTGTTATGCTAAAATTTTTCTAAATTTTTATCATAGCTGTTCTAATAATAATCAACCTTCTACGTATCTCTTGTCACACCCTCCGGCATTTGTTATTAGGCACCCCAGGTATATGAAACTATTTACTACTTTAAAGTCCCCAATTTCTTTAATGTGTAAGATTATTTCAGGCTCTGTCTACTATCATGATCTTTGTCTTGCTCCTATTTAGCTTTAGTCCATGTTTTGCTTTTCTCCTTAAGACATCTCATTATGTCTTCCGTTTCTTCTTAATTTGCCGCAATTATTAAAGTGTCAACAGCATATCTCAAGTTACTGATTTTTTGACCTCCTACTTAAATTCTACCCTTCCATCCGTCTAGTAGGTTTCGGATAATGTGTTCGATGTAGATCTTAAACAGAGTTGGCGAGATTATGCATTCCTGTCTGACACCTGCCGGAATGGGTGTTGTTTATTTTTACTGTACATTTAATATTTTCAATGACTTCTAATTAGTTGAATTAAGTGGTGGGGTGTTCTATTTCCGCTAGTATGAACCATAGCTGCTGCCATTTGAATTTATCGAATATCGAAGGCCTTTGTGTAATCCACAGAGCACATAAGTATGTGTTCTCTTGTGCCTTTTTCTGGGATAAATCCGGCTTGTTCTTCTGATATCTAAGGCAACAGAAAATCTTTTAGTCTTTCATGTATTACATGAAGTAGAACCTTGCTTGCATGGGATATTAGGGTTACCGTTCTGTAGTTGTTGCAATCTAGCGGAGTTCCTTTTTGAGTCTAGGGATGAAAGTGGATATTGTCCAGTCGTTGGGCAACTACTCTGGTTTCTTAAATCTTTTTGCAGTCATATGATAACATTTTACTCCAACATCTCAGTCTCTTTTAAAACTTCATGCGGTGATTTGGTCTACGCCAGATTTTCTATTTTTTAACTTTTTAATTGCTTTTTCTACCTCTGACTTTATATAGATCTACACTCTATACAGATCATCAATACGAAGTAAATTAGACTACGCCTGTTTATGCTCCGACACGCTAATAAAACGTCTTTAAAAAAAAATAATTATATTTAAATATGTGCTTGAGATTACTTTTAGAGCCACAAGAACACAGTCCAGTAGTTGCTTATATAAGATCTGGCTAATAAACCTCAACTAAGCCAATGAAGACTCCTGTCACTAAATTACGTTGCCAAGATTTCAGCAAACAAAAGCAAAGTAGCCTGCTCAACAATGTTTTGCAGAACAAATGTATTTTCGGATTACTACAGGAATAATGAAAGCAGTATGCTATTCATTTCCTGAGCGAATAAACGTATTGGTCTTAATTTAAAACAATTATGTCTTACTATGTTCTTTTTTCTTCGTATTAACGTCTTTCTATACCATGTTCTCAGGTTAGCCAGCTAGGATATTTTCCTTTATTCTGGGGCCCTTTTTCGTTTAATTTTACCTTGCAAAAGTAATTCAAGTAGCATTATAACCTACCTTCATTTCTCATTTTATATCCCAAGTACTGCTTCTTACAGCCTCTCACGATGTTGACCAAATCTGTGTAAATTTTCCTTCTTGGAGGAAACCAAAAGAGCTTATCAAAGATTCTACACATCCTTTACTTATTCAGCAAGCTTTAAAAAATTTACACAAATTTTCACTCAACCGTTTTCTAGAAATTTCCTGTCATTCAGTTTCCATCTCGCAGGGTTCTTTTCTCCATGGTCCCGTCGATTTAGTCTCTGAATGACCTTCGGGGTTTTCCTCTCTTTCTTCTTCCGATCGGGCTCCATTCTGTATGTTTTGTTTATCCAGCGTCCTCTGTCCGCTTCTTCTGACCAGGATAGTCTCTTTCAGTCTCTGTCTCGTCTCGTCCCTTTTTGTAAGTCTACAGCTTCTCCTCTGGAACTCCATTTCTACTGCTCTTATTCTACTTATCTCAGTTTTACGGACCTATATGTCCAGGATTACTTCTTGTCAGGGTATTATATAATTCTCCTTTTTTGTCTTTATCGTAATGTTCTTATCCCACAGCACTGAATTTAGTTGTCTTAATACAGTTTGCTTGTTTGTCTTAGTCTGTTGTTTATATCTTCTTCTGTTGCTCCCTGGTTCGATATTATGGTTCACTAAATACTTGAATTTATCTGTTTCATTTACTTGTCTTCCCTCGTCTATCTCTAGATTTCTCATATCCTTGTTTTTTGATGTTTATTTCCATTCCATTGTTTTTATATTTTTCTTCTAGTTATCTAAGCATAAAGCTGAGATTTTCGTCCATCTTCATTTTAGAAACTCCTGTGAGATGGAGAGGAGTTGTGGGTGAAATTTATTATATTTATTTATGATAATGCCTTTCCACATGGGATGCGAGCGAATTTTGTACTAAAATAAGTTTTTACAAGCTTTTTTTAGAACTTTTCATACGACAATTTTAGATCAATGTGTTAGTTAAATATAATATTACGGGAATGTGTTGAATAGCTGCAACATGTATTACATATTTCTATGGTATCTTAAAAATATGAGTCCCATCCATTATTATATTGAAGAGAAGTGGGCTCAACGAGTCACCCTGTCTGACTTCACTTTATACTGGTATACACTGTGTTAGTTATAAAATTATATAAAAAAAAAAAGTTATGTAAGTAAATCAAACTATTATAAAAATTATGGACTATTTTTTGTCAAAAGACTGATATGTTTTTTGTACACACTTATGACAAGTCAAAAGAAAAGGTAAAAAAGTATTTTTGAAGTGTGTATATTTTAAATAATTCCTAGCTGAGCGCTTTCGGCTTTACAAAGCCATCCTCGGAGCTATGGTAAATTTATAATAACCACTACAATGGAGAGATCTCATATCCTTATATGTCGAAATATTGATTATTTTTAGTTGTTAAAATCTTAAAAAACATATAAAAAAAACATATAAAAAAACCGACACTGGACTTAACAATTCAATTCAATTTTTTAATGTGTCTGTGAAGGCCAGGTGTCGGTTTTTTATATGTTTTTTATTATATTTTTTAAGAATTTTAACAACTAAAAAATCAATATTTCGACATATAAGGAAATGAGATCTCTCCATTGTAGTCGGTATTTATAAATTGACCATAGCTCCGAGGATGGCTTTGTAAAGCCGAAAGCGCTCAGCTAGGAATTATTTAAAATATACACACTTCAAAAATACTTTTTTACCTTTTCTTTTGACTATTTTTTGTGCTACGTAAATAAATATTTTAAATAAACAAAATATATTAGTAAAAAGAAATAATGTTAAAAAAGCTACAAACAATAGATTATTTCATTGAAATTTAAACAAAATGTGTTTACCTTATCAGGTAAAAAAATAATTCATGAGTCTTTAATACACAGATAAAATTGGTAAAACTGTTTCTAGATTGTTACTAATATATCAAATCATTAATCTGTATCTCCTTCAGGATACGGAATTGCAACACCTAAGGGCAGTCCTTGGAGAGACAAAATTTCTCTGGCTATTTTGGAACTGCAAGAGAAAGGTGAGATTCAGATGCTGTATGATAAATGGTGGAAAAACAAGGGTGACACCTGCCACAGGAATGATAAAGGAAAGGAATCCAAGGCCAATGCCTTGGGGGTCGATAACATCGGAGGTGTATTTGTAGTTCTACTATGTGGACTCGCATTTGCAGTTATTATTGCCATCGCTGAATTTTGTTACAATTCTAGATAAAGTGCAATAAATGACAAAGTAAGTTATATAAAATTTTAGTTATAAGTTTTAGCGTAGTATTTAACAAGTTTATACCTCTATAGTTTTCTGGCTATTTTTTATCTCCTTTTTTTAAATAGTAAACCCGTTTGTATACCGTTTTTACCTGCTGCCTTTCTATTCTTCAGGTTTTCAAGTATTTTCCGAACTTTTGGTATATTTACATTTATATGTCTGTCTTGTTTATTGTGATTATTATATTGTGTATTATGTACTTATATTCGTGTATATGGATGTCTTTATAATTTTATAATTTACTTACTGATTTTTAGAGATCTGCCAGTGTGCCTCATCAATCTCTTTGCTCAGAAATGAAGGGTGAATTCTGTTTTGCTCTTAAATGTGGAGGTTCTCGACAAAGACCTGCTCTTCGAAGAAAATGTTCAAAGTGCATGTCCGGAGTGTCATATGTTCCTGCCATGCTGGATATTCCTCCACATCCTCCATTACCTCCATTAAGGGCTCCGCCAAGAAATGTAATATCACCACAATTAAGCCTCTCGCCCATAACAAGGGTAATTATTTAAAACTATTAAATATAATATATTCAAACAAGGACCACAGAGAAACTTGTTGTTTTAATAAAAATAACTGATGTATCTAGAAAGTGTTGTAGTATAGTGGTATAAGTGTAGTATAAATTTTTATATAAATTTACCAACAAGTATTGCATAAAAATGAAGATCCTAGGTAAAGCCTACAGTTTACTCGCATAATATACTGGTTTATATCTTTAGTCTTCTTCTTCTACTTTTTGTAGATCTTTCGATCTGTTTAATTCTGAAGCTGCCTCTGGTTAATTTCTTGGGAGGTAGATTGCCAACTATCCCTCCATCTTTTAGGTGGTCTTTCGGGGGTCTTGAACCGGGCGGATTGTTTTTCTAGGGCAATTTTTTGGGAGTCTATTCTCATCCAATTCGTCTTACATGGTTGTACCACATCCTCTTGCGCTGCCTTACCCATCTTACAATATCTTGAATTTTGCACTGCTCCCTTAATGTTTGTATTTCTCGCTCTGTCTCTTCTTGTTTTCCCCATTATTGTTCTTAGGGTTTTCATTTCGGCAAGCCTTAGCATCTGTTTCGTTTTGTTGGTATCTTCGCGCACTTCTATGCCATATGTCATGATCGGTCGTATGCAAGTCTTATAGATTCTAATTTTACTATCTGTGCGCATATACGGATTTGACCAGACTATCTCCCACAGACATTCTGACAGTGCAGTTGCTTTATTGATCTGACTCCTCAGGTCCTTTACTGGGTCGTGGGTGCTTGATATATCTATGCCCAGATATCTGAATTGCATCACCTGTTCTATGGGGTTGTCCTCAACCACTAACTTACATCTGAGCGGATCTTTTGCTATTGTCATACATTTAGTTTTGTTGGTAGAGATGTTCATATTTAGTAGTCGGCTTGTTTGAAAGAACTGAAAGAGCTGCCTTTGGAGATCATCTTCTGATTCGGCAATAATTGCTGCATCGTCTGCGTAACACACCATACCAATTCTTTTGTTGCCCATTCTATATCCGAGATTAAAAGATGTTACTTTGTTGATAATTTTGCCCATGAGAAGGTTAAACAAGAAGGGGCTTAAACTGTCGCCTTGTCTAATTCCTCCTATATCTTTAGTAGGTTAATTAATTTCTGTTTTATTAAATATTGAATGTCCTAGTAACTTGATGAATGTGGTGGCGGAGTATCTGTGCGTCATAAAGAATATGGTGGATAAGGGCATGATCGTCGATGCAACGGCTGGAGTTCCTCATGGATCTGTTTTTGGACCGATGCTATGGACCTTCACATACGATAGGGTTATGCAATGTCAATACGAAGATAACAAAACTCTCTTTGCATTTGCGGATGAAACATCGTTGATTGGAATTTACGGCAGTAAAGACCGAAGCTATCATTTTGAAGGAGAAAAGAAACACGTAAAGTACTTAGGTGTGACGCTGCACCAAAACAGTGTACGAGGCAAAAGTACAGAGAGTTGTCTGGAAGGAAAATGAGGCTTCGTTGGGAGGTAATAGCTAACATTGGATGATCGAAAAACCGAAAGAAAGACGGCCGTACATTGTGTACAGTCGATCATCCTTTACACTTCAGTAGTCAGACGTGGGGCATTAGAGGTGGTAGATAGTTTGTGCTATCACTGGACGTGTTTCTCTGCATGTATTGGTAGTGAAAAGTAAACAGTTATATAAGAAAAAATTGTAACGGCTAGCTCACCCATTGCACATTGAAACCCCTCAGGGGTGATGTTCGGCATAAACTAAATTAATTTGAGAAATCGGGAATTATTAATAAAATAATTTCTTTAACAAATGTCTTTATTTATTTATATTTTAATAAATCAAAATGTAATAACAATTAAATTGAGGTTCTAACAACAGGGAATTAAGCATCTATATACAAAATCTCAAGAAATAAAGAAACTTAGCTCTACTCTATGAGAAATCCTCCTGCTATTCTCTTCTCAACTCGGACCATACAATGTCTGCAAAAACCATGCCGCTAAGCCGAAACCATGTGGATCCCTCTCCAATTCAAAGCCATGCGGATTTTCAAAATCGAGATGGATTTCTTATTCAAAAAAAGAACAATTCCATTTTCGTATTCTTCGACCAAAAAATCCATGTCAACGTAAATTTTCTTATATCATAATCAAGGTGGATTTTCTTGAATAAAAATCAAGGTGGATTCTCTTGAATAAAAATCAAGGTGGCTAGAAAAACAAAAACCGCTACAAAATTCGTCATGGCACGAGTTTTGTCCAACAACAGAAGAATTCTGGCAAGCGGAAAGCTCTTCTCTCTGAGACCTGTATACCGATCCAGAATTCTCTGATGTTGCCAAAACTCACAAATTAATAATTGTAATTAATAGATTAATTATTAAATGAAAAATGAAAAAGACAAAGTTGTGCGATAAATACGATTTATATTAAATTATTATTATTATTACAGCAAGGTAAAAAGAAAATAAAAATTGTAAGCAGTTTTTAAGTACTAGCGTACACAAAATTATACGAAAAACTAATAGTGTTCTTGATTAAAGTATGAAAATATGTTGTTGTAAAAAGAGCAAAGTATTAACTTACCCAGATCGTTGGAAGTTTCTGACACGAGGACTTATTTTTTTAATAATACCTTTTCGTTTGCTGGTTTATTTCAAAAGAAAATTAAATCGGATCGGATTGATAGAAGTAAATTATTTAGGAATGGGGTTTCTGTTTCTTGTACGATAAAGTAAGCAAAGGTAGGACTACGAGGGGACTTAGGAAATTAATTAGCGGATTTATTTGTAATAGTAAAATATTGAAATAAAATATAGGAATACAAACAAAGGAAAAAGAACTTATTATCAATTAAAATCAAATAGTATGAGCAGAAAATAGTGGAAAGTACTTTGAAATTAATAAGAACAAAAATGTAACGTTTTAAACGTTACAAAATACCAAGAATTGACTACGGTCAAAAGAAGATAATAAAAAGAAAAGTAAATTTAAAAATGGCAAAAAGAATGGAATAATATCAAGGACGTGGACCAGTAGGTAAATATGCTAATCCCAAACCTTAGAGAATAAATGGACTGTGGTCACAGGCAACTGGATTGTTTCCTAACGCAAGTGCTTACAGGACACGGGTGTTTTAGACATTTTGCGGATATCTAGACATTGTAACATATATGTATTTAAAGTGTAATAAATGGACTGCAAAAGAAGTAGAAAGAAAAGATAAAGAGCTTTAAACTTTGTAACAGTGAAAGAAATTATTAAAAGGATGATTGAAAGTCAAGCAGATTGGAATAACAGATAAAGAAGAAGGAAGAGAGAGAAAAGCAATTAAATCAACAGAAAAGGTTGACAATGGAGGACTGTGTAAAAGAAGAAAATGCCTGGCTAAGATGGCGCATTCTACGAGCGATGAATGTCTTCCACGCGCTATCTAGAACGGCGTTCTTCTCAGATGACAGAGCGCCTTCTTGCCTCCAGTCCTTGGATAAGTAAAGCAAGTTTCTCGGAAGTGTTGTCCAGACTTAAAATCCAGCGGCCATTTAACTTTCGGAGTACTATGTAACAGAGAAGGGTCTGTTTTAGCAGGTAGACATTCGGCATAAATTCAGTGACGATATGACGTTTAAAGTACCTCAGGAACTATCGCTGGTACTACAAAGAATGAATCCTGCATAAATTTCAGTCAGGCAAAAAAGACAACTTAGACATATCAGAAATTATTTTAAAAAATTCCAAATATCAGAATTGTTAGGCTAAATAAATCACATAAACCAGTAACTAATAAGCATCAATAAAAAGTAAGAGCATCTTACTTTTTAGGAATAAAAAACAAAAAAATATATAAAAATGTAGAAAATAATCCTTGAAAAATATCGAATCAAAAAAATAAACTCTACAAATAAATAAAGAAAACGAAAGAAATCAATGAAGATAATATCATACTTAATAACCTTCCAGTGGATGGGTGGGAAATTACACGAGTACACGGGTGAGAGCTGTTTCAATACAGAATAATTTTGCAAAAAAAAAATAGTTTACCAAAAAAATGGTCCTGACAGGACTCACCCGTGTACTAGTGTAATTTTTGAATAGAATTTTATAAAAACATTTAATCAAAAAATATGATGTTTTTTGTATTTTAATTTTGATGATTTTAATAACGTTTAAAATAGATAATTAAAAATAAAAAAACTTACTTTTTGACATATTGATAGTTAAAAATTCATAACGCCGTTTTCTACAAAACCAAAAACTTCTATTTAGTCTAGGCAAGGTATAACTAAAAACGAATAAAACATAATTGTATAACTATTTAGCGGCAAAAACGACTGTGACCTAAAATTCAACTTTTTTTCAAACAATTCGCAAAAAAACAAAATTTTACACCTTCTTCAATATTTGCAGCATCTGCTTTTGTTTGGTGGAGGATTTGGTAGATCTGGATCAGATAATATAATATCGACATATTTGCGGCAATATAGCACACACCTCTAGCCAATGGCTTACTTAAAGCCCGTGGTACAATGTTTGGTTTATCCAAATCAAGTCCTAATTTTTTTTAAAGATTCTTCTGTCTTTGCTACAGGATGCATCTGAATTATTGTGCCTAGTTATAACAACAGCAATAATTACAACCACATTCAGCAGTCCATAAAATGTTACCATTGTACATGTTTTAGTTGCCCTGGGTACATTATACTTTAAAGCTATTTTATCTAGGCTATTGGTTAGGTTGTAGAAAGATATTTTTTCTGGATTTTGAGCATCTCCCGTTGACGGATCGAGAATGTCTATATTGCAATGCAAAGACGATACTGCTAAATTATTTTTACATTTTTTACGGAGATATTAAACTACGATGGCATCCATTGGTCATCGTAGTTTCCTGTATTTCATCTGTAGTCATCTGTATTTCCCAAAGCAAATACAGATGAAAATACTGATCTATCCATTTTTGTACGTAGAATTTCTGAAAGCTCTCATTTATTCGACCGAATTGTACCAACAACTCTTAAGCGTTCACCAAGAAATTTTTTAATTAGTTTTTGCCTGTGAACCATCGATCCATAGTTATATTTCGTTCTGAACCCTATAAATGTTGACACATTCGTATTGCAACATCGAAACATTTATTTGATACCAGAAACGACCCTTGGGATTGTTTGATCTGCGTAAATCTCCGTGTTGTTCGTGTTAAAGCTCCTCGAAATGAGTATCGTCCTCGGAAAGCTCAAAAACTCATTGTCTAATGTAAGATATTCTTCAGAGGTACTTACGTTTTTGGTTAAAAACTTTTCTAATAGCAGCCAGTTTGTCAATAGCTTTTTTTTCTTCTCTAATGTCTGTTTAATGGCGGTATGTTTAAAGGTATTATGGGAAAAAGATCGAAACAAAAAAATCTTATAAGAACAAAGAGTTTGAAATAAAAAATATAAACATGTTGTTAATAAAGTTCAAGAAAGCTAGAATGGTAATTTAGTAGAATTTTAATAGAAACATTACTGGTTTTATAGCTTTAATATAGAAAATTATGTTTAAATAATGAGTTATTAATTTAACTTGCAGATTTTACAGTGCAAAATATTAATATTTTATAAAATAGCTGGTGTTGAAATATTAACATACTGTGCGATACATGTTGTTTGTAATATATCCAATTAAATACTATCTTTCTACTCTGAAACATAAAAAGTAAAATTAAAAAAATGGTTTTCATAGGACATGTTCTAATTGACCACCGCCCAGTCCAATACAACTTTGTTATTATGAAATGATTTTATTACAGCAAAGAATTCCTGTTGATTAGTAAAATACTTACGTAATGGTATATTTACACCTTTATTACAACACGTTTACTTACTTTAAACAATCTTTGGAATAAAAAAAAATAGTTCATAAATTACATACGTGGGTGCAAAGAATTATATTTACTTAACGTTTTTATTGTAGAGCATATTTCTATATCATATTTTTGAACTTTGATATGAAAATTATATATCGTAAATGTTTTCTGTTTTAGCGGGATCCATTTGATAGTTAGTTACTACACAGAGTTATCAAGGAATTTAAAAGCCGTTTAAATCAGATACCCATCATGGAAGTGATACGACGGATGTATTATAAATAACTGTGTAAAAAGGCACATTTGCACATTTATAGTGACAATCTAGATGTTTTAGGTATAAAATATGTAAAAATAAAATATTTAGTAGTTTTTAAAAGTGTATTTTACTTTTTAAGCTTAGTGTTTAAAAAAAAACAAAAGAAAGAGTTAAGAAGCTGGTTACTTCTATAATTAAAGAAAAAGATGATTGTACTATTAAAAATTAACTAGTACAAGAAAAAGAAACCGATAAAGATGACTTAAATCCATAGTGTATTGTTGATAAATTAATTGGACATGACTCTGAATGTCTGATAAACGTATTACACCGTAAAATCGAACGAGATGAACTGTCCATACAGTGTGGAAAACCATCGCCATGTAATCTAACTAATCATATAGTCAAAAATATTGTAACTGTAGCAACATCTGTTCCTTGTGAACACATGTTCAAAATCTGGTTTAATTTTAAATCACAGAAGAACACGATTAGCAACAAGTAAAGTGGAAAAACTTATGTTTTTAAATGTCAATTTAGACGATTCGCGATTTAATAATAACGTGTAATGTAAATGTAAGTACGATTTACCATTTGTATTGTTTAATTTATTTTTCAACTTATAATAAATATATCCTTTATTAGTTTCTTTCACTTCAATACATGTACACATAAACTAGAATAGCTAATATGTTTGGTTATGTACTCTCTTACTTGAAACTACTGTTAAACAATCAACTAGTTGAATAATTTAACTAGTTTTTCAACTAGTTACAGTAAATCATCGATATAACGGACCTTTATTTAACAGACTTCGGATATAACGGACAAAAGAATTTCAATAAAATTTTGTATAAGTGGACACATTTCTAATAGTAATAGTATATATTTTTTTGCTAAAAATAAATGCTTGGTTATTCCTTGTGATTAAACACATTTAGTATACTCCAGTAAATAAGTTACAATTTTCGCAATCTTACCCTTTAACAAACGAAAAGAATCAATCTGACGATCAGATTGATTCTTTTTCTGATTTCTATTTACTGATTTCTGAATCAAAAACTAGAGAATATAAAAACATTGGACTCTGGAACATTGTGTCTTATATATGTGATCAATATGGCATAAAAAACCAAACTTTTGGACATAAAAAAAATAAAAGCAAAATAAAGAAATTTGCATTAATGTGTGATGTAGGAGAACACAGCAATCTCATAAAACGAATGAAATCAAACAATGGAAGAAGCAATCTTAAAATTGTATGGCCAACAACGTTCTAGTGAGGATCCCGGTTCAAGCAGTCGAATTGAAATCTGGTGCAATTAAATTAGCAAATCATATGGACATACCATTCAGGGCAAGTGATGGATGGCTCTAGTGCTTTCGCAAAAGGCACGGAATCATGAATAAAAGAATTTACGGCGAAGCTTCAAGTGCACCAAAAGAAGAAAGGGAACCTTTTAGGCAAAAATTAGTAGCCCATATAAGTAACGAAATACAATTAGAATCTCAAATTTACAATGTTGAAGAAACTGGTTTGTTATGGTTTACTTTGCCTGAAAGCACACAAGCCTTCAAATGTGAAAAATCGAATTCTGGAAGAAAAATCAGCAAGGACAGGATCTCGGCACTGCTTTGTGTTAACACCTTGGATCGCATAGATTGACTCCTGTAATGGTTGGCAAATCTCGTAAACCTAGAGTTTTAAAGGATATAATCCTTCCTAATATAGCTCTAACAAGGCATGTTCACCTCAGATATTTTCAAAAGGTTTTTCAAAGATTTGTACCTTCAGTGAGAAAACTTCAAGAGAAGAAATTGGGAATACCACCAGAAGAGTGGTTTTCCTATTTTTGCCAAAATATACAACATTGCTTATTTGACACCACGGATCAGGGAATAATTTTGGCAGCCAAACGAATATATCGCAAAACGTTTTTAGACGAAGTAATGGTTGTATTGTACGATAAAGATAATGCAGAAGATACAGAAGGGCAGCGTACCTTGCAAAACTTAAGGTCTTACAATTTAAAATCAACAGTTTTTAATTTTGCTGCAGCATGGGAGGAGGTGAAAAAACAAGTAAAAAATGGTTGGAAGAATTTTCTTGATGGCCAAGATGCAAAAATAGATTTAGAAATGTTGTAAGTTACTGATTTCTGTAGGACTATACATAATAATGCCGGAGGACATGTAGTTGAGGAAGATGTTTTACAATGGCTAGCAGTAGATGAGGATGGCCCTGGTTATAACATCGCGACTGAAAGAGAAATAGCACATAAAGTTATGAACCTAAAAAATGAGGATGTAAGTGAAGATAGCGAAGCAGACGACAAAACGTTATCGTTATGTAAATGTGTTATAAATGAAGTTATCAGAGGTAAGATCGCATTTCGACGATCTAATAACATTAATTGATTATTCATCAAATAGTTAAACTTTATTTACGCATTTTCGTAATTTTAGAGATTTGATCATAAAAAAACAACAAACATCAAAAGTGCAAACGAAACTTCTTCAAAACAGGATTCTCGACAGCAAGCGCGTCATATCTACAGCAACGACACTTCACGACGAATATCCGAAGACATTTAAAGTGTACATACATATTTTCAAAAAAAAGTTTTGATTTATTTTAGACATATTTTTATATAACGGACTTTTGGCTTTAACGGACACCCCTTCCCCTCAAGTAGTTCGTTATATGGAGGTTTTACTGTACTTGTTCACGAAAAACGGTTCAGTTTCGTTAATGATATAAACGTCAAAGATCCACCTCTACTCGTTACCACAGTATTAAAATCAAAGTGTCCTTACTTTGACGAGGCGATGTCGTTGTGATAGTTCAGATTTCTTTTCTAGATGGTGTCGTTAGTTTACTGAACAAACGGTGTGACTTGTCATCATAGCCTTTTATATAGAATTCTCTGGAATTCTCTTTTTAATTTAATAACAGACGGTAGCTGGTTTGTCTAAAGTTTCATTCGTGGAAGACAATGATGGTCGATAAAAAGTATGTGTTTTATCTTGCCAGGTATTAATGACGCTCGGACAAAAAAACATGGACTCAACTGTAGATACAGTTGCTAAATTAAAATCTTTTAAAATCGAGAGAAGTGAACACTAAAATGAAAATAAACTACAATACTTTGAGCCCCAATTAAAAAGGACAAAATTTTATTTGTTGCAATTTTTTCTGCAGGGAAGGATTTTACGAAAAAGAAACTTTGGAGGAAGGTAAATGTTATGACTAGGCAATCTCAATGACGAGTTTAATAGCTTTTAGGTACGTTAGAAATAAAAATAAAGTTTCTATCATTGCTTTTGTCCCTTGTTTAAAATAGAAATATTGGTAAATTTAGTTCTCTGGCGGAACTTCTCTATCTTCTCTCATTAACGGAAATGACGAAGCAAAAAATGGACATCACAGTACTCTCTGAAACCAAAAAGAAAGGACAGGGAAATGAACAGATTAAAGACTACGTTCATCTATGGTCAGGAGTAGAGAAACATATACACGCTAAATCAGGGGTCTCAATTCTTATTAAAAAATCATTAAAAAATATATAAAAGACTATGAGTACATATCTGAAAGAATTCTCACAATAACTGTCACATTGTACGGCATCGAAACAATAGTTGTTGGTGTCTATGCGCCAACAGACGATTCAAATCAACAAGTTAAAGATTCCTTTTATCAAGAGTTATCAAACATCTGTGATAAAATAAAAAGCCATCAAGAAATAATATTGTTAGGAGACCTAAATGCCAGAGTTGGTTCTCAAATAGACGATGAAGTGGTGGGACGATACGGAGAAATGGTTAAAAATAGTTCAGGGGACAGTTTAATTGAGTTCTGTCAACTTTTTGGTTTAAAAATAATAAACACCCAATTCCCACATAAAGATATTCATAAATACACTTGGGAACGACCTTCACTCCAACAGAAGTCGATCATAGACTATATAATAATGAGACAGAACTCAAAATTTAAGTGCCAAGACTGCAGAGTAAAAAGAGGGTCTAACTGTGGGACAGACCATTACTTTCTTTTAGCTAATATTTTGTGCCCCTTTAAACAAAACAACAAACATAACACCGAAAGTCAGAGAAACAATACTACGCAGTACAAAACGGAGAGATATAAATTGCATCTTTTATTCCAACCAAGTATTAAACATCTTTTCCAATGTAGATTAGAAAGGGAACTAAATGAGATGTAAAGAAATATGGATGTAGAACAAGAATACAATAACATTAAAATGATAATAAAAAAAATTGCTTATGAAGTATTAGGAACAGAGAACAACGACAAAAAACACCACGAACCACCATGGATGACAGAAAACGTAAAAGAAATGATACAAGAAAAGAACAAATTATATTAAAAATGGCTAACAAATAAAACATCTAGCAATAGAGTATCATATCAAATGAAAAAGGAGAAGTACGCCAGCAAATAAAAGAAGCAAAAAACAATTTCTGGGAACAGAAATGTGTCCAAGTTGAAAATTTAATGGGTGGCTCTCAGATAACGGAAGCATGGAGAACTATCACTAATCTAAAGAAGAACACCCATAACTCATTAAGCAACTTAATTTCTATAGAAAAATGGGAAAATCACTATAAAAATTTACTCCAAGAGTCCAGATTGGAATATATGGGAGAAGAATACAGTATGGAGAGACAAACAAATAGTAACATTAATACTACCAGCAACGAGGTCCGTACTGCGCTAATTAAAATGAAAAAACGGGCGATCTTCAGGACCTGGCAATATAGCTGTAGAGTTACTTAAAGCAGGAGGTCCACTCCTAATCGAACGAATAGCTTTTCTAATGAATCAATGCTGCCAACAAATTAAAATACCATCGGAATGGAAAACCGCTCACCAAGTGTCCATCTTTAAAAAGGGTAATCGAAAAGATCCTAACTGCTACAGAGGATTGAGTGTCCTACCTACTTTCGGCAGATTGTTTGGAAAGATAATAAATAGAAAAATACAAGATGATGTAGGACATCTAATTAGCGAAGACCAAAGCGGATTTACGCCTGGTAGATCTTGCACTGATAACTTGTTTATACTCCAACAATTAATAGAAAAAGAATTGCGTTTA